AATCTCATTCATTTATGTATGTATCATGTATGTATATATGTATTTTTGGTACATTTTAGGCATAACAATGATAACACTTATCATAAGGAGTTTGCACCTGTACATGATACATCCCACCTCTTTTTTTCCCCTTCCCCCCCTCCCCTCAAGCTCCTTTTCCTTTCTATGTACAAAAGCTATGTTTGAATATCACATTTTGTTTCTTGGGGGATCAGGGATTTAGCTCAGTGATTCCGGCGCCTGCCTCGCAAGCACAAGGTCCCAAGTTCGATCCCTGGTATCAAAAAAAAAAAAAAAAAAAGAGAGAGAGAGAGAGAAAACATTTTCTTTCTTGGTGTTTATACTTACTCATACATTAAGAGAAATTTCCATATATATATCTTTTTGAATGACTTTGAAAGGCAGTATATATACATGGCAAAGAATGAAACAAATCTGATATGCATAAAATGAAAATAATCTATTACTTTACAAATTAAAACATAATAATCACTTTTTTCAAAAAACTGCAAAACTGCACATTCCTGAAGGAATGACTGATCGTGTCTTTAATATCTGATTTCCTTCTGACAGCGCTGAGTGCACCGCCAGGTGTGGGGCCATGCTGCCCAGGATGGGTCGGGCAAGTTCTCACTGATGTGAAGTTAGTGCCTCAGCACCGAGGGGAGAAGCGTGCTCCAGCGTGTGACCTACTGACAGAGGGGCACTGAAAGGCTTCAGGAGAGGGTGCAGTGTGCACTGCCAGGGTGGCACCGTGAGACATGCTGTATCATACTGCAAAACCACCTTGTGCAGCTTCGGGACTGTGTGTTTATAATCCTAGGCACTGTAGCAAAAATGATCATTTTGGTGTCGACAATTTCTGTCCCTTTTAGGTCCGTTTATTGAGACCATAGACAGTACAGTCAGAGAATCAGTTTAGACTTAAGATTTCTGCCTTCTCAGAGGTTCCTCAGGAAGAGGTGCCTGGGGTGACATTTATGCTAGTCTTGGGGACACTGCTAGCTCCTCTGAGGAACAGCAGATCCCATGGGTCAAAGGAGGTTCCTCCTAATGCCTCCATGCCCATGACTGCCTAGGCGCCAGGCCAGCTTTGTCAAAATCTCATTTGATAAAAAAACTAGTTGGTAGTTTCTTGTTTGCAAAAAATGTTATTATTTGTTCCTTAGAGTTATCAAAAAAGCCATTATTAAAAAAAAGATAATCATGGGCCAGGGATGTAGCTCAGTGGCGCCTCGCCTGCCTGGCAAGCGCAAGGTCCTGAGTTCAATCTCTGGTACCAAAAAAAGAAAAGAGAAAGAAAAGAGAGATAATCAGATGTCCCCCAATGGGATATGTTTCAAAGGTTTTGTAAATAACAGTTATACATTATTTTACATTTTTAACTGCTTTCTTGCATAATTTCCTCTTTTGAAGCTGAGCACATTAGTACACTCCTATAATCCAAGTACCCAGGAGGCTGAGGCAGGAGGATCACTATGAATTCCAGGCCAGCCTTGGTTACATAGTGAGTTCAAGGCCAGTTTGAACTACATAGTGAGACCCTGTCTCAAAAAACCAAGAATTTTAAAAAAAAGGGCCCGGGATTTAGCTCTGTGGTTCCGGTGCCTGCCTCGCAAGCACAAGGTCCTGAGCTCTATCCCTGGTTCCACAAAAAAAAAAAATTTCTTTAACTGAAAAAAAAATTTCCTCTTCTGATCTGTACAGCAACAGTAGGAGGTAAGCAAGGAAGAATGATAATCCACATTTTACAGTTTAAGAAGCCCAGCCCCCATAGTTAAATTGTCCATAATCACTCAAGTGGAAATAAAATAACACAGCAGAAGTTTTCAGTTTCTCCCATTATCTATGTGTAAGCTGGATCTCCAAATCTGAAATCCACCTTCCCAGAAAAGTAATCGTACACATAGTGCTTTGGAATCTAGACTAACTCACAGAAGTTGAGCTCGTAAGGGTTAAACTCTCAAAAAGTGGCATAACTGCAGAATTTGGGATGGACGTGAGTGACCTGGAGTCCTTCCCTACTGTCCACGGTCAGCGTCATTTCTCAGGAAGGAAATGTACCAAACCTGCAAGAAAATACCATTTGCCTGAAAGACTGGCCACCCAGCCCAATCTCGCTTTTCAAATCAGGAACTAGACAAAGGCCACCAACATGTCCCCTCCTTCCCTGTGGTCTGGGGGGGTCAATGTAGCAAAGATGTAGTCGGGAGCCCGACAGCAGCAGAGGGGAGCAGGTTTCCCCCTGCTCCAGCATAACCGGGACCAGAACAAGGCTGGCGAGGAAGCACACGTGGGTGACCCCAGCCTGACCACTCCCCACAGCTCTGTAGTTTATCCCGAGCTGGAAAGCAACAAAACCAGAAGAAGTGATGTGACTGTTTTAGATATAACCTTTGTATTTGCTCAAGAAGTATGGAATTAGGAGGAAAACTTTCAATCCTTGCTATTCAGCCTCCCTTTTCCAAAAGGGTTTTCTGCTTAACCAGAGTACAGACTCTTGGAATGAAAGTCACCAAGCGCTGTGGATCTCCAGCGCACTTCCCTAGGGCCAGCTGGAAAGGAAAGGGAGGGAAACACATGTCCTGGCTGGCAGACAGCTCTGCACGCTTCCTTTTCTCCTGGACCAAGGAGTGGGAAACACTGATCAGCAAAATACCAAAAATACCAAAATACCACATACATTTTAAGTATTCCTCTTCCCTTACCCAAACCATAACTGCTCTTAGAAAGAAGGCTGCAAGGTGGAGAGCTATGTGCTTTCTGAGGGGCTGAGCATCAGAATCACATGGGATGTTTCAAAACACAAAACTCCGATACACCTATGATCCAGCACTCAGGAGGCTGAGGCAGGAGGATCGCTTCGAGTTCAAGGCCAGCCTGGGCTACATAGAGAGCCAAGGCTGCATTGAGTCCGAAGCCGAGGCTAGCCCACGTGACCTTCATCATATGAGATTTCTGCTATTAATGTCCTGGCTCCACAATGAAGTTGGGAGCTTCATGAAGGTCTAGACTGTCACGTGTTTCAATGTCTAACGTCATGCCTGATAGGATCCAATAAATGTTTACCTATAAAATGACTAACCAATCCAAAAATCACAGGTTCTATAACTAGTTCTTTTCAACTTTGTGAATTTACATAACTTTTCTAAGTCTCAGTTTTTTCCTCTCAAAATACAGACTGAAGAAGGTAACTTCTAGTTTAACATAGAATCTCAGTTATTAAAAAAAAAAAGCCACACAGAAATCCCCGCTTGGCTACAGGGGTCCATTTCCAAACCCCCAGGGGACACCTGGAACGACAGACAGGGCTGAACCTATGGAGATGGTGTTTTTGCCTATCCATATCCATACTCAAGATAAAGTTCATGGGGGCTGGGGATTTAGCTCAGTGGTTCCGGTGCCTGCTGCGCAAGCGCAAGGGCCCGAGTTTGATCCCCGGAACCAAAAAAAAAAGATAAAGTTCATGGCATAAATTAGGCACAGACCGGAAGAGACCAAGGGAAGGGACAGGATAGAAGGGCAGGGGCAAGAGGGGAATAAAGATGGTCAAGATGCCATAGGGTGTGGACCCATTCCCCAAGACAAATGTGATTACTATGTATCACAAACATATCCTACGTATAAAAAGTATATAGATTTGTAAGAGTGCTTTGTCCATTGTTACATTAATGAATTAGAAATGAAGATAAAAAATAAACGAAGCACAGTAAGAAACTGCAATACTAATAACAGAATAATTTTGAATAGAACAATAAAATGGACCATCATTAAGTAAACAGAGGGTCGCTCCGACACAAGCTCCACAATTACATCACCGTCCACCGACTCACCAAGCTGGCCCCTAAGTGACGAGGAGGGTGGAAGTCACAGCAAGGCTTCCTGTGCGTGAGGAGACTCAGCGGATGGCAGACTGGGGAACTGAATGTGCATCTGTTGAGTACACTGATGCCTGTCATGTCTGTGTCTAGATGTCCCTCCAAAGCTTCCTGCAGTCATAGGTGGGGCTTTTCACAGGTGGCTGGATCTAGGGTAGGTGACGCTGGGAACTGATTCATGGTGGATGCTAGGCTCAAGGGCACTAGGATTAAAGGTGTGAATGCTACCAGCTCCCAGTAGCCTGGATAAGATTGGGGACAGAAAGAGCTGTGGGCATCCCTTGTGGCTTTGCTACCTTCTCCCTGCCATGAACTGTTTCTCCTCTGCCATGCCACCCTGCCTTGGAGCCAGCCGATTACGGACTGAAACCTCTACAGACTTTGAGCGAAATAAACCCTTCCTCCTTTAGCTTTGGGGGTCAGGTATTTTGTCTCAGCAACAAGAGAAAAGTATCTAAGACAATGCCTTTATTTTCCTACTTATAAGTAACCTGGATAATAGGCAAATTTGTCAGGCTTTTAGAGGGGGCTGGTTCCAAATGTCACGAAATTGTTTTTATAATGACATGATGTTCAAAATTAGGTATTTATATAGTTCCAACAGTATTCCAAGCAAGCAAGCCTTTCTCAGAAGAGCTACCAAGGATTTGATTGGATCAGTAAGTGCATCTTAGTTACAAGTTTAATTATTTTCTTTCTTTTTTTTTGTTCCAGGGATCGAACTCAGGACCTTGTGCTTGCGAGGCAGGGGGTGGAACCACTGAGCTACAAACCCGGCCCAAGAGTTTAATTATTTTCCACACTTGCCAATGACGCCCTTAGATGAGCAGCCACTGCTGGAATCAGCAGCAGCTCGGAAGAACCGAAGAGGGGATTAGAAACCAGGAACTAATCCGGCCCATTCTGCGCAGACCCAGTTTACAGAATGATCTGGCCCCAAATCATGCTAAACACACCTTAATCCTGTCTGCAATAGCTTTGATGACCCAGTATCGACAGATACGGTTAATATTAACCTAAAATCAAAAACATGACACACACTTAACTAAAATACTTTACGAAGGGAGAAAGAACTAATTTACTACGCACAGCTTCGAAACACTTGTTTAACAAGGCACTTACCTCCGCAGGCACGGTCAGTGTCTACAGTGGCCAACGGCCTGCTGACCCGAGAGTCCGCCGCCACGGCTTCTTCTCTGCGTGCCCCGTCCCACATGCCGGAACTTCGCCCCCTTTCACACATAGCAGGAAGAAAAACGCAGCATTTGACTTGCCATTTCTGAGAACTCATATCCGAACCAAAACAATTCGGCTCACCAAACTATTTTAACATCTGGTGGCCACAGCACTTACTTACGTAAACAGTTCTTACACCATATTTTGTATTGCCTAAGTGCACTTTTACGCTAACCAGTAAGCGTCTAAAACTTTAGTCATGTTCTAAAGCATGGGATCACGAGGTTAATTGAAGGCAGAGTTAATCAACAACCCTCAACAACCCTCAACATCTTTTACAGCTACCTTTTCTTAATTCTAAAACTACATTTTTTTGCTGGGTGTGGTGGCGCACACCTGTAGTCCCAGCCCTCAAGAAGCTGAGGCAGGAGGATCCCTGCATGTTCGAGGCCAGCCCGGACTACATAGGAGACCCTGTCTAAAAAAACACAACTAAATAAATAAGTAAAACACATATCTCTTGAAAACAAATGAACAAGGCTTAGTCTTTTCATGTTTATTTTTAATAATATTACTTATGCATTCTCATTTGATTTGATTCTAACCTTTGTTTCTCTTCCATAGCAACTTTTAAGTTGTTTCTCTCCCTTACTACATATAACACTGAAAATACAGTTAAATACAGTACACATAGGTCTAAATATGCATTTTTGGAAATTTGACTGTAAGAACCAAATGGTCTTAGCTTCTGTAAGAGCTCTCCCGTGGTCAGACACTAATACGAAAGTCATATTTCACACTGGGTCTCTGTTTTCTTATTATAGTGGAGAAATCACACAGATCTTGGGGAGCTGCGGAAACTGATGAAGTTCATTCCAAGTTTATCAGTCAGTGGACTCCCCAGACCCCTGTTCTCCATACCATTAGTGACAGTCCAGTGTCACCTGGACTATGATTGAACAGCTTCCTAGGATACAGTTTAATTACACAATTTAATATAACTATAATTTAATACAATTTAATATAATTTTTAGTCCATGTATTTACTAAAAACGAATCCACCTTTAAGATTATTAAAGAAATCATTTATTCCTTTTGTTATAATTTTCTATTTTCAAATACAACAGCAAAGAATTCAGAATATGGCTTATAACATACAATAGAATAACTATCAAATTAGGTCACAGTTAACACGTATGCCAAAAAGTCACTTCCACTATTAACATACACATCAATTTTCTGGATAGAAGAAAAGAGCAATAACAAAATCTTTTTTAAACATCAATCAATTTCAACATTAAGAAAATAACAATACGGAGCCAGGGATTTAGCTCAGTGGTTTCGCTGCCTGCTGCTCAAGCTCAAGGACCCGAGTTCGATCTCCGGTAACAAAAAATAATAATAACAACAATACACAGGGCCGGGATTTAGCTCAGTGGTTCTGCCCTTGCCTCACAAGCTCAAGGTCCCGAGTTCAATCCCCAGTACCAAAAAATAAATAAATAAATAATAATAATAATAATAACAATACATTCTTAATAACAGTATTTTGGGGGTTTTTTAAAGACAGCATCTTGCTGTGCAGTTCGGGCTGGCCCTGAACTCACTATGGAGCCCAGGCTGGCCTTGAACTCACAATGATGTTAAATGTGCTTATATCCTCTCACCTACTGGGCATATTCAATCCCCAAATCCAAAAAATAAATTAAATAATAATAATAATAATAATAACAATACATTCTTAATAACAGTATTTTGGGGGTTTTTTAAAGACAGCATCTTGCTGTGCAGTTCGGGCTGGCCCTGAACTCACTATGGAGCCCAGGCTGGCCTTGAACTCACAATGATGTTCCTGCCTCAGCCTCCCAAGTGTGGGGATCACAGGTGTGTGCCACCAGGCCCTGTGATCACACTATTTATATAGTTCAAAGTTTAGGCATATCAGTGCCTAGTACATAAGTGTCCAACAAATGTTACTGGGGAAGTTAAATGGTGCCTTTCCATATTTAAACTTGTATTTTAGAAACACAAATGCAGTTTAACCTTAGAAGTTGAAACATGACAATGCATAGCTTGAACCTTCAGGCACAGGTAGCTACCATACAACATTATCACTGTCTTAGTTATTTTTCTCATTGCTGAGACAAAAATATCCAACATCCAAAGTTAAGGGAGGAAAGGTTTATTTAGCTCACAGTTTGTAGAGGTTTCAATACATAATTGGCTGACTCCAAGGCAGGGTGGCTTGGCAGAGGGGTGTCACGGAGGAGAAACAGACCGTGGAACAAACAAGGTGGCAAAAGCAACAAGGGACCTTAACAGTGTCTCTCTGCCCCTTTTATCTTAGCCAGGCTCCTTAGGACGCGTACCACTCACCCTTAATCCCAGTGCCCTTGAGCCTAGTATTGCACCATGAAGCAATCACACACTCTAGATGCAGCCACCTCTGAAAAGGCCCCACCTACAACTGCAGGAGGCTCTGGGGGACATCTAGACACAAGCCATAACATTTCACCCCTGGTACGCCACAGACTCATTCACATCATTTAATGGAAAAGGCACTTAGTCCATCTCCAAGAGTTGCCAAGGTCCGAACAGTTTCAACACTGCTGAAAAGTCCAAGTCCCAAGTCTCCTCTGAGACTTAAGGCAAACTCTTAGCTGCAATCCTTTGTACAAATGCAAAGAAAGGTAAACACTTTCAACATTCAATGGCACAAGACAGGCATTTCCATTCCAAAAGTTACAAACAGGGATACAAAGGAATGTGACGAAAGCAAGTCCAAAACCCAGCAGGACAAACATCAAATCCCAGTTCCACTTCCAGCACCCCCAGCAATCTGTAGCAAGTTGTGAACTCCAAAGGCCTGGATGGCTCCACCCCTATTGCCCTGCTGGCGGTGACAGCTCCCAAGGCTCTCTCTTGGGCCAGCTCTGCTCCCTTCTTACAGTTTTCCTCAGACAATTCATGTTCCTGGCTTCTCCAAACTTCTGGGGTCTCCACTGCACCTTTGGCTTCACACTCACAGCTTCACACTCTGCCCTCTCAGGGGCACCCTGCCTGCCTCCCAGGCCTTCTTCTGAAATCTGGGTGGAAGCCTTCCTGATCCCCACAACTCTTGCATTTTGCATGAGACTAAAACCAGCACTGTGTGGATGACACGAAGGTCTGCTGCCAGCTGGAGCTGGAGCCAGGCTTTCTTCTCTCTTGGCTGTAGGGGTCCAGTACCTATGAGCCAAATCCCCTGGAACAACTTCCCTAGGCAGCTGCCATTCTGGAACAAGTGCTTTGAGGACTTTTTCTCAAAACTAAGTCTTTCATTTTTGCCAATTCTGAGGCTGCAAAGGGTGGAGTCCTGCTGCTTCCTTCCATGGCCTCAGGCCATCTTTTCTATTCTCCTGTTCCTTCTCAGCAATCAAGACCTCTTCTGCTCTATCTTTGCAGTCCACTGCTTTACTGGAGCTTCCTTTCTGGCCCAAATCAGAATATTTTAAATCATTCAGCTGGGCTCCTTGCTCTTGATTCTCAATATAAATCTGGCTAAAAGCCCCCAACAGTAGATATGCCATGAACTCAACAGCAGACCGCCTTGAAATTTCTTCTGCAAGATTAATTAGCCTGCTACCCTTAATCTTAGCCTCAGGCAAAGTCTCTGGACAGTGAGCAAAATGCAAACAAACCATAACACACATGGTCAAGCCATAACACACATGGTCTGGAATCCAACAGTCAATGCAGTCTTTCTGCCCAGCAGAAACTGTCATGCCCAAGGACATAACATAGGTGGGCACTGCCACAACCCCCCCACCCCAGCTTGGCCAGGGTCACACCCAGCAGGAAAGCTGGATGCCCTAGGGAAAAGCCATTTCAAACAAACTTGGCCTTCACGTCCCAGCCCTTGGGTTCCAAGAAACATCTATACAGCCACCCAGTCTGAGGAGCACAGGCTGCCCTATCTTTCCCCCCAGACTCCTCCAGGCAATGAATTCTCTGACCAACGCCTGAAAATCACCTAGCAACCACCTCCCTACTTAAGTCTATGCTCCCCCCCCCCATTTTGTAGTGGCTCTCGGAGTCAGCCCACCTGTTTGTGCTTGGGGAAATACAGTTTTGTTTGCTCACACAAGGCAAGCCCAGGTGGTCTCTCTGCTCTCCATGTCCCTGCTACAGAAACCACCTGAGCTTGATCTTTACCAGCGCAATTTCTATCAGCATCCTGATCTTCTGGGCTCTGACCAGAATCTTCCATTAAGTACAGTCTCAGGTGTTACAGCTCTACTTTTTCTGCCGGCATCTCCAAACCTTTCCTAACTCTTCCTTCCACAAGCCAGCTCCTAAACCACATGGCCAGGCAGTCACAACAACAACCCCACTCCTGGTACCAAATTCTGTCTTGGTTACTTTTCTTGTTGCTGAGACTAAATATCTAACACCCAAAGTTAAAGGAGGAAAGGTTTATTTAGTTCACAGTTTGTAGAGGTTTCGATCCATAATCAGTTGGCTCCAAGGCAGGGTAGATGGCAGACAGGCATCACAGAGAAACGGTTCAAGGTACACACAAGCAATAAGGAAGCTTAACAGTGTCTTTCTGCCCTTTTATCTTATTCAGGCTACTTAGGATGAGTAGCACTCACACCCTAGATCCTAGTGCCCTTGAGCCCAGCATTGCACCATTAATCAATCACACACTCTCAGAAAAAGCTCCACCTATGCCTACATGAGGCTTTAAAGGTAACACTTAGATGCAAGCCATAACAATTACTAAAAACACAAATGCAGCTGAAACTGAAAAGTCTTGCACAGTAAAACATAAAACAGGGCAGAATGAAAATCACTACCAAAAGAAGTAAAGCCAATTGCTTGTTTCCTTATTTATTTATTTATTGCTTTTTGAAACAGGGTCTCAGTATATATTCCAGGCTGGCCTTGAACCCACTAAGTAGCCCAGGCTGGCCTCAAAGTTGTGGTGCTCCTCCTGCTTCAGCCTCCCAAATGCTGGGATTACAGGCATGCACCCAGGGCTCCTTATTCTTAATCTAAGCATTGGGTAATATGAAGTGACCCATTTAACACTGGCTTCTCAATACTAGCTCTTAAATCCCCGCATCACTTGAAAATATAGACGGTCCCTGGCTCATACAGTTGAATTTAGGGTTTTTCAGCTTTATGATGATATGAAAATAATGCATGTCCAGTAAAAAAAACACACTTGGGATTTTGGCTTTTGACTTTTTTTCTGGGTGTGAGGTGGCAGCAAGCCACAGCTCTCAGGCAGGGAAAAGCTAAAGGAAATCCCATCACCCTGGGAGGCTGAGGCAGGAGGGTCCTGAGTTCAAGACCAGCCTGAAACATAGCAGGAGTGTCTCAAAAGGGAGTGAGAGGATACAAAGGAGATGGTTGGGTGTACCAGCCAAACAGAAGGAACATTCCCCAAGAACCAACAGCAAATGCTAAGGCTACCCATTCTAGCCTGGCTAAGCTACCAAAACTAGCACTATCTTGCGTCTGGATCGATGTAGGGAGCTGTGGAGGAAATAAATAAGGTCGTTTGACCTTTAGGCTCCAAGTAACTGAGGAGAAAGAGACAAAATAAAAGGGATGAAAGAAAACTATAACCTCCACAAACACCCCTAACTCTATTAATACGCAGAGGAAGAGCCACAGAGAAGACCACAGCACTCCGAAGGCTGAGGCAGAAGGGCAAACTGGGCTACACAGCGAGCTCAAGGCGAGCCTGAACTACACTCTCAAAAGACCAACCAACCAACCAAAAAAGCTCCTTCTTCTTCTCTTATGCAAATCCCCGCATCTTCTATTACAAACGCAGCTCCTAAAGGACACCCGGCCCCCACCCCAGGCCTGGCCTTTCCATCTGCCTAACAACCGCAAGCCTCTTCGCACTAGGTAACACCTATTTATGCGGCCCCTTTTAACGTTCTTTGGCTTTTCATATGTTTAAAAGATCAGACTCTTGCAGAAGGGCGGCTTCCCCACCCTAGGGCCCCCAGCTCGCAGGACCCGCACAGTTCAGCAGGACAAACGCCCGGACAGAGGGGATGCTGCGTAAGTGGAGCCTTCGCGCCAGATTCAAAGCGGCCACTTCTGACCCAGATCAAGTCCTGCAGGAACCAGGGCGCGGGCCGGGCAGGGGATGACCGTCCTCGGGAACAAAGGCGAACCTTTCCCAGTTTTGTTTACGACCCAAAGCGTGGGCCGGGAGGGGCCGCGAGGACCGAGCGCCTAGGGTCAAGGACCGGAGGGGAAGCGAAAGTGAAACCTGGGGGCGGGCGGGCGCCCCGCTCCCGCCGCAGCGGCCGGGGCCTGCGAACGGCGCTGACCGACTCCCCTCGCGGCGCGCGGGCCCCGCCACCCGGCCCCGCGCTCACCCGCTCCGGGGAGCTCCACGGCGTGGCGCGGCGGCCCGGGCTCCGGGACCCGGCGGGGGCGGGGCCTGGCGCCGGGGGCGCGGTCGGGGGCGGGGCCTGCGGGGGTGCGGAGCCCCCCGAGCCGCAGCCCCGCCAACAGCCGTAACCCGCGTAGGCCGAGCATGGCCGGCTGCGCGCCCCGGGGGCCGAGCGCGTCCCCGCGTCCCGGGAGCGCGCAGCGCCGGTACCTGCGCGTGGCCTTCCAGGCCCGGCCGGGTGTCTCGTGAGCGCCTGTGAGTTTAGCTTTGCAGGAAATCTTGAAAAACGCAGGGAAACACACACACACACACACACACACACACGTATGCACAGTTCTGATTGCAAAATGTTTGGAAAGAGGGATGTGTATCTGAATAAGGAGATATTTTATCAGCTTTCTTTTTTTAAAAAATGTGGACAAAATGTGGAATTTTAATAACGGTTTGAGAGGAAGAAATGAAAGGGAAATCAACTACTGGGTCTTGCAGGATAAGGTACTGATGTGGGTAAAATGGAAAAAAGACAATTAGTGTATCCGACAGTGCTTACTACAGAAACAGATATAATACAAGGTATACAAATATATCAGAATTTACAAGGTTGGCTTAGGTGAGGAAGAGGGGAAAGGTCCATCTGTGTGCTGGGGATCCCAGGGAGTCCATACCCGGAGCCCACAGGGTCTGCGCCGGAAGCTGAAGACAGCGTCCGAAGAGAAGGCAAAGAGTGGAGCTCCTCCGAAGAAACAAAAGCAATCCTTCCTTCTTCTTCTCTCTCAGAGAATTCCGGAGACAATCCTCCCTAGGGTGGGTCTTCCACACCCAGAACTGCTGAGCCAATTTAGTTGACACTAAATTGACATTTCTCGCTCAAATTCTCACTCAAATTGACACTATCAGTTAACTATCACACTTAGTTTTGTAAAATAGAAAACAAACCTTTCACCTGGAACCAATGCCATTGGTGTTTGCTTTTCTTTCTTTTTTTTGGTACCGGGGATTGAACTGGGGACCTTGCATTTGTGAGGCAGGCTGCAGCACCACTGAGCTGAATCCCCAGCCTGCTTTTCGTTTTTAATGCAAAGAAACCCAGAACAAGCAAATTAGTACCTGTAATTGACTGAGGCCAGAGGACCACAACTTCAAGCCCAGCCTGGGAATTGAGCAACAGCAAGACTCTTGTCTCACAAAAAAAACAAAACACCTGGTTGTGTAGCTCAGTACAAAGACCCTGGGTTCAATCCCCAGGGCTTGAGGAAAAAAGACAATAAACAGGATGGCATGTGCCTGTAATCCTAGCAACTTGGGAGAATAAAGCAAATAGGATCACAAGTTCAACTCCGATTTACTAATTCAGCAAGCTCTGTCTCTAAATCAGACAACTGGGGATGTAGATCAGTGGGAAGGTCCTGGGTTCAAGCTCCAATACTGCAGGAGGGAGAGAGGGAGGGGGAGAAAGGGGAGAGGGGACTGATTTTGAGGGGTCTGATGTCTACATCCATAGCATTGATGAGCTGCTTGTGAGATGCAAAAGGGTCCCCTACTGAATATTTAATCCCTGAGCTCCCTGTTGATGCTGTCCAGGTAAAATAGGCCTTGTTCTTAAGGAAGTGATCATCTGATAGCAAAGAAAGAAACATAAATAACTGCGATACATATTAAAAGCTGGAAAAAAATGTTCCACGCATAATAGAGTTCCTGTTGCTGAGGCTCAATACCCAATACCCACAATTTAAAAGAGGAGTAGTTTAGTTTGGCTTACAAGTTAGTGAATTCAGTCTGTGGACGGCTGGCTCCAGGGCAGGAACATCATGGGGGAAGAGCCTGGTGGAGCAAAGCTGCTCGAGTCCTGGTGGCCGGGGAGCAGCTGTGGGAACAATCATCGGAAGGGGCCAGGGGGCCATACAGTACCCAGGAGCCCACCTCCACGACCCACCCAGTCACACTGGAGTGTGCTTTGCTAATCTGGTTTCCAGGCCAATCAAGTTGGGACAGTGGGGAGATGGGAGGGGGGTCAGCCAGGTGTGGTAATGCACACCTGTAACCCAGCACTTTGGGAGCCTGTGCTGATACAGGGAATAGAGGTAACTCCCAAACCTGCTGGATATCCAAAACGAAAGTTTGTGTTCTCTAAAATCGAAGAATGAATTCTAGGAACAATAGAGGTTGAGAGTAGGAAAAATCTATTGAGAGAAAGATAGCTTCTGTCTAAGAGAGACAGAAGGAAGGCCAGAAAGTGGGTTGCCCACTGATCCCACTTCTCAAAGGTGTTTATGGGACAAAGCCTCAAGGTGAGGTTCAAGGTGGAACAAAACTATAGTCAATAAGATTATAAGTACAGTTGCTTAGGTAATATAAGTTCAATGAGAAATCACAAGGTGGACATGAGGTGGGACAAATCTATTAACAACCAATAAGATTACAAATATAATAGCTTAGGTACTCCTGATTAAATGGGGATCCAATGCGGAAGCAGGTCATGTAGCAACCATTCAAGGAATGAACAAGGATTTTCAGTGAGGGATGGTTCAAGGGTCTTTCCTAAAAGGGATGGGTTAAGATCTTGGTCCCCTACCCAGGTGATTGATACCTATTTAGACTATCAATCACTGCCACTCATCCTGGGAGAAGCAGGCAGGTGTGGTAGTTTCTCCTCTTTTACAATGCTGGCCTTCAGTGAAGGTATCTTGTTGTCCATGGTGGGTCCTTGAGGGCCATCCCATCTAACTGCCTACAAGAATCTAATTAACTTACCTACCTACAATAGTACCAGGAGGATCTCAAGTTCAACCCTAACCTGGGAAACTTAATGACTTGGCATCACTCTGTCTCAAAGTAAAAATATAAAAAAGGGCTGAGGCTATAGTTCTGTGCAAAGACCCTGGGCTATTATTATTATGCAAATAACAATAACAATGGTGTTGGGACAATCTGCCTCAAGAGAGACCATAGCATCACCCACAAAATATTCTTGCCAAAATTATTTGACCTTGGCTGGGAGTATCGCTAGTATACATAAAACCTAAAGCCACTAAGGCCTTAAATGTAACTTCTGGTTTACCAGAAATGCATGAGGCTAGGAAAACAAGTAAAATAACATGATAAAGAATCAGACCAATCTAGCATGTATGACACTCTATAAAATAATGGGCTTGGACTCTTCAAAAGTTCAGTGGGTCTTGGTGGTGCAAGAACAATATGGCAGCTTGAACTCGGACCCTTCTTGTCCAGGCGTCATGGGAACAGCAGGGCTATGTGGTGAGTTAAGAGGGATGGGTAGAACTGGGGTGGGGAGGTGTGCACTGGATTAGCAAGGCCTTTGTGAGTGATGCTGAGGAGGCTGAATATTAGCCTGGTTCTTATCAGAAAACAAGCAAATTCCTACAAACTTATCTATTTAATTTACGTTCCATATTTATTGGTTCTGTCAAGTTCTTTAAAAATACCACTTCCGGGGGCCGGGGATTTAGCTCAGTGTTTCCAGCGCCTGCCTCGCAAGCGCAAGGTCCTGAGTTCGATCCCTGGTACCAAAAAAAAAAAAAAAAACAAACCACTAGGGGCTGGGGATTTAGCTTAGTGGTTTCACTGCCTGCTGTGCAGGCACAAGGACCCCAGTTTGATCCCCGGTACCAAAAAAAAAAAAAATACCACTAGGCGGGGCTGTCTGGGACCTCTGACTGGGTCTGGTGCCCCAGCTGTGGGCTTCCGAACTCCCTGTGGCTGCCCTGACTCCCCCTTTCACCTCATTTCCCTGTTTCCCACATTAGACTTTATGCTCCTTGAATGCAGAATGTGTGTTTTAAAGTCTTTATGTCCCCGAATGCATAGAGGTTGCTCAATGAATGAATACAACTTTTATAACTTTTATCAAGTTTTATATTAAGTATTCAGATTTGTCAAAAAAGAAAGCAGCAACCCAGACAGAAGGAAGGAAGGAAGGGAGGGAGGGAAGGAGAGGAAGGAAATTGTAGACAATCTCAATATTTTTGGTTTTTTTAATAAATTTTATTTTATCCTGCCCTAGCCCCTCCTAACTTTTGTTTTGTTTTGTTGGTCTCACTGTGCAGTTCAGGCTGACCTTGAACTCACTATGTAGTCCCAGCTGACCTGAAACTCACAGTGATCCCCTGCCTCTGCCTCCCCAGTGCTAGGATTATAGGCTTGCGCCACCACGCCCAGCTCAGCCTCAGTTTTTTAAAGATTCGCAAACCTGAGACTAAAATTAGCTGATATTAACATCTAAACCCTGATAGCTGAGGGCTGGGGATGTAGCTCAGAGGCACTGTGCCTGCCTGGCAAGCACAAGGTCCTGAGTTTCATTCGCAGTACCAGAAAAAAAATAATAACAATAAATCTTGATAGCTAAATAAACCTACCTACTCACATCACAATGACAGTCCTTTGTGAAACCCCTCTGAAATGCCCTGGGGTTCTCAACAGTGTCTAGCACCCATAACAAACCATGCCAGGCTGCCACCTACCCCAGCCCTGTCTCCCTGGGCACTGCTGGTCCATCCCGGCTCCAGGAGCCCCCTGCCTGCCATGGACATCACCTGCCTACCAGTTCCCAGTGGAGACTCTCAGTCTTGCAAAGGAGGACAGTTCCTCCCTATACATCCATCACCCTCTGCCAGGGCTAGGCAATGGGGGTGATACTGACATAGAAAATTAGGGCATGGCAAAGCTGGCTGGGGAAGTAGGCGTGATGTGTTAATTACAGGATCCCAGAACACATGCACAGAGCAGCTCCCAAAGCCCTGCATTCCCATTTCTGGGAAGAACTCCGGCAGATTTTCAATAGGATGGCCTAGAACTGGCTGAGGTGGGGGACCCCAGCACCACGTGTCAGGACCCGTATCTACAGTTCTCACGCATTTCCTTGAGGTTGGGACAGTACAAAGGACACCGAGCCTAGAAGACCTTGCTATCGTGGCTTTGCTCATGATGGCCAGCCCTGTGTCCTCCAGCTAGTACTCTTTCTTTTTGGGGGGTGGGGGTGAGACAGGGTTTGCTATGTGGCTGGCCTTGAACCCACTGGGCAG